ATCTTAGAGGCCTAGGATCTCTTGCCTCTTCCTCCATATAACCCAGGCTTGTTTGAATGTCTCTGGATATGCTTAAGACAGAAGGAAATCTGAGGCAAAGTAATATTTTTGAAGGTAAGCTCACCTAATATTTTTGCAATAACAAGACTGGCATGATGCATAGAGCAATGTGCATAGTTTTCTAATTGAGTTTGGCTATTCACCGCTGGTCTCTTTTTTTCTGGATAGGTCTATCTGCAGGTCGGATTTCCCAAGTTATTGTTGGAGATGAGCAGCGACAGTACCTCTTGGTGATTGGACAGGATGTGGATGATGTCCAGGTAGCTCAGCGTTTGGCTCAGGCAAATGAGATTGTCTTGTCCTGGAACTGCTGGAAGCTCTGTGAGCAGTACATGTTTGAAGTGGAAATCATGAGGGAGTATGAAGCTGTGAAGGTACGAGGCTGGTCCCATCCATTGCACGTCCTGAAAAGGCCTTTCTACTACACAGGGCAGTGCTCTGGTGCTGGTCACATACGGCTTGACCAAACCAACAACCATTAGAACTCTATTTTGGAGGGAGGTGGGGGATATCCTCCCAGGAAGTTAGATGAGGCAGAAAAAGAAGGCTGGAAAGATACATTGATCAACAAGGGAAATGGCATCCTCAGCCCCTCTGTTAAGGGACCAACAGTAATCCAGTCGGTGGGTGGGCGCCCAGTTGAGCAGTTTCCTTTCTGTAGTTAAGAGATATGCGGATCACTGACCCATTTGATTTTGATGAGCATTTTGACAAGTGCCTTGATTACCTGCCACATCACCGGACAAGTGCTGGTAAGTTACTTGGTCCTTTCTCCCCAAGCCCAAAATTTCAAAGATAAATTTTCCACATGGCTGGAGACATTTTGTTTTTTTCCTTTTCTCAGATACTCTAAGAACTGCCCTGGAGTTGGATCCAGACTCTGCGCTTGAACAAACCCTGCGGAAGCACATTATGAAAAACCTCTTGAAGAAGGTTATTTCCTAGTTCTTGAGTCATCGTGTAGACTGTGTGTGTGTGTTTATGTTGACAGGTGTACATTTATATGTGATGACCTTTTCATACTGATCCAGTTCATCTCCTGCTCTCCGTTGTAATGCTGACAGGTTTCCCCATCTTTACCAGTTCCTGTGATGACATGTCTTAACTTCAGATTTCTCAGTTCTAGCAAGTGGAAGACATATCTGTTTTTCAGTTTGTCCCTCAAGAAGCTAGTACATTGTAAACAGGGTAGAGAGTATATGCTTGGTAAATATGTGTTGATTGTGTATATGAATCTGTATGAATCCCTTAGTAATGATATAATGACTAGTAGAATGGACATACCAAATTAACTCAAAGAGAAAACATAAAAGCGTGGCAAATCTCATCAGTGAATTAGGTTTAAAGTCAAATAGTTTTAATTCCAAGTGTACTGGTTTGTACATCTTCTATACTTCTCAAACCTGAATTTTAAGTTTTTTGTCTGACATCTGTAAGTTATTTTCTCATACTCACCATGGAGTATAGAATTCAAATGCTTAAACATGATACTGAGAGTTGAAGAGACAGGCAAGATAACTCACTGTGTCTTTGCAGATTGATGAAGGGCAGCCTATGGAGTATATATCTGAATTCCGTACTGTGACTATGGTTTTGGTCAGCCTAGAGTTCCACAAGACAGCATGGATGTTGCATTTGTGTCATCTTATCCAGGAGGCTGCCCTGTACATCTCCACAGTCATAGAGAAAGGGGGTGGCCAGCTAAGCCGGATCTTTATGTTTGAGAAAGTAAGTACAAGGAAACTTGACCCATCAGCACTAAAGGTGAGTGAGGAATAATAGTCTTGTTCCCCACATAACACCTGTGTAAGTCAAATTCCCTGCTGTTTATTTTGTGACAAACTATAGGACATCAAAAGTTCAACTAATAATTGTTAAGGAATGGGATGTTCTAGTTAATTTCATTTTCAGGGTAACTGAAGATTATCTCCATGTCCTTTTTCATTCAATTCTTGTTGAAAAATCTTTGTCAGAGCAAAAGCATATTTTTCTGGTTCTATTAGTAAAGTGAGTGTAATCAGATAATTCTTATAATTGAGGAGCTTGAAAAAGAGCAGTATCATAATACATGACATTGTAGGTGAATAAAAATGTGAGTAGATAGACAGCTCAAGGCATATACTAGAAATGGAATTTTTGAAAAGTTCTTAACATCAGTTTTTCTTGTGTTTTAAATTTTAGTTCTTTGAAGAGTTATTTAAATCAAGATTTTATTTCTTCTTTTTTTTTTTAATCTCCATGTTGATGTGGCCCAGAGTGTCCATTTCATGAATCCTGTAGAACTCAACATTCCTAACAGAAAACCAGTGGGTAAAAGCTCTGGCTTCATTCAGGGGAGTTGGTCCAGTTGAGGCAAGCGTATTCTTTCCCCAGGTAAACTTTTTTCCTTCTTTGTCATCTGTCCCAGGGCTGCATGTTCCTCTGTGTTTTTGGCCTTCCCGGGGATAAGAAGCCAGATGAGTGTGCACATGCCCTGGAGAGCTCCTTCAGCATCTTCAGCTTCTGCTGGGAGAATCTTGCTGAGACCAAGTGAGGAGGAAGGTGGGGCAGAGAGGAGCTTCTCAGGCCCCGGGGGCTCTTCAGGCTGGGTAGGAGGCAGTAACAAGTAGCTGGGGTTGAGAGTGTCCAGAATCTGCCTAAAGGGGAGAGAACATGCTAAGGGAAGTCAGAAAATAAACTCTATTAAGGAATCATTAGGCCCAGAATTATGTAATAGATACCCAGGGAAAATGAAGATAAGTTTCCATCTAATGGCGTGAAAGAGGGAGGAACTGAATACTCATAACAAGATTTAAGAACACCGCAAAGGAACAAGCAAATGTATAAATTAATATAATACAAATAATATATCTGTATGTTGTGGGAATGTAGAACAAAGGCTGCCTGTCTACAGGGAGGGGAAGTGTGGGAAGAGAAGTTGTAGGGCAATTACCAAGATAGGAAGGGACCACCGCTGGAGTTCAACAATTGGGGAAAGCGAGAGAGGGCATTTTAGACAAAGGAAACATGGTGAAACATCCGAAGATATTTAGTCTTATTCTTGGTGTGGCAGCAGAACCAACTGCGTGGTTTAGGTCTTGGGTGTCTCTTAGTCACCCTGAGCAATGGGCCCAAGTAAATTCCTCAATCCTGGCCTTAGAAGAAGCAGGAGAATTTTGATGGCAAAGATACAATAGTGTTAGCATTGTTGCCACTTTTGGTGCTCTCTGTAAACAACTGAAAATGGTTAATTTGTAGATTTAACTTGAAACTAATTTATGCCTCGTTGTACCCGCTTTCTCCATCCACATATCTTATCTGTCACATGAAATTTTCACATCAAGTAAATTTTCACATCAAGTAAGTCTGATTATTCCTTGTTATGTATGAACTTGCTACCTTTGAGCCTTTGCTTCACCTGGAACAGTGTATGCCCCTTTTTAAATAATTCATATTTCTAGTGCTTTCCCATCCCTGGCCTAGGTAGGACCACATCTCCCTTCACTTGTCCCTACTGGACACACCGTCTGTGCTGTAGCCATCTTGAACTGCTTAGTTTTGCACAAACACAGCAGGCTTTTCAGAGTCTCTGCCTTTTCCCACTGAAAGGGATGCTGTTGCCGCGCTTTCACAGTACTTCAGCTTACAAAGTCCAATCATACACCCTCTCCTTTCTGAGTGCTTTTTCTGACTCTCTAGTATGAGTTAATATATCCATTCTGTTTGCTCTGTTAATTTGCTATACTGATCTCTAATATGTAGTATTTGTCTTGCTAACTTATAAATATGTCTCTTCACCTCCCTCAATTTCTACCACCTTCCTGCTGCCCGAAACTGAACTTCTCCAGAGCAAGATATTTTAAACACCTAGCCCAGTACTTGGTACTCTACGTACTTCTCAGTGCTTGTTAAATGAATGAACCTATACACGAATGAATGAATGAAAAAATATTACTCATTTTTAAAATGTATTCCAAAGGCTAATTCGTTTCAGGAAGGCTTCCATCAACAGCCTGACCCTCTGATTCCTTTCCTCTGACTTACTTAGGCTCCAGAGCAAACCCCCAAGCCCAGTACACATTTCTAGCATTAATTGATCCATTAACCCTGTATTGATAACTGTTGATCTACTTTTCATTTTGGGGTTTTATCTGAGACAGCATGGTATAGTAGAAATAACACTGGGCTAGGAGTCAGGAGACCTGGATTCTCATTCTGACTCTTCTGTTGATTTCTGCTGTGTAACTCTGGGAAAGTTAATTAGCTCCTTCAGTTATGGGTTTTTGTTTTTTATTTTGTCAAATGGGGTTAAAATATTTGCCCTACATACCTCACATATTTGTTGTTAATTATCCCTCAAAGGATCAGAGGGAGTAATCAATTTGAAAGTACTTCAGAAAACATATATAAACTAACAGATATAAGGTGTTTTTATTTAGTCTCTCTGCTGATAATAGCTCCCCAACTAAAACTCCATGAGTACGGGGACTATTTTGTTCCTTTGTAACTTTATACACATCGTGTGATATAGACAGACAGCAGTCTCTGGCCTTTTCTATTCTGAGCTCTAAAACTAGACATCTGGATCTGAGGAGTCACAGCTCTAGTGCCTGACTTGGAGGCTTCTGACTGTATTTACCCACTGTTGCTTTTCTGATCCCCAGGCTTGTTTCCATCAGTATCACCAACGGACCAGTATTCTGTGGCGTGATTGGGGCAGTAGCAAGACACGAATATACAGGTAGAATAGGACATTGGACTATTAGCTCTGTGACTTAGGGGGTAAAAGTGGAGCAGATGGTTCAGAAATTCTCCATCCTTTTCTTTACTGTCTCTCTGACACAGTTATTGGCCCAAAGGTGAGCCTGGTGGCCCAAATGATAACTGCTTATCCAGGTTTGGTGTCCTGTGATGAGGTAACATATCTAAGATCCATGCTACCTGCTTACAACTTCAGGAAACTCCCAGAGAAGATGATGAAAAATATTTCCAACCCAGGGAAGATGTATGAATACCTTGGCCATAGGAGATGTATGTGAGTGTCATTAATAGTTTATTCCCATCTCTTTTACAGAATCAGGGTATAGGAATCATCAGTGTTTGAGTGTATGAAACTAGAAAGAAAGATGCTTCTAGTCCTGGCCTGCTGGAATAAGAGACCTAAGAGGAGGGTTTAGTGTCTGAGATCTTTAGCTTTTCTGTTTAGCTCTTAGCTAGTTCCTCAGTGAACTTCTTGCTGTCCAACAGGAAGAGAATGCAATAGGTCACGAATCTGGGTGTTCTTTTTTTCTTTGTGTACCTCACAATTTATTTACTTCTCTGAGCCTGGAACAATCAATATTTCTCCCCTTCCTCCTCCCAAAGATTTTTAATTTTTTACAACTCTTTTACTTAGAACTCTGGACCTTTTCAATTATCTGAAAGTACTTGCTGATGAGACAATTTGTCTTCTAGCTATTTAGAGATATACATTCTATCTCTCCCAATCTGTTAATAGACACATTTCCCTTTGTCCTTTTTCCCAGAATGTTTGGGAAGAGACATTTGGCCAGAGAGAGAAATAAAAATCACCCTTTGTTAGGTGAGTTTTCTTTTCTACCTTAAATCATATTTTTTCCAGCTGTAGATGGTTAAATGTGGTTTTTAAAAAATGCAAGACTAAGTGCTTCTAAGCATTATATTAGAAGAATAGAGAGCAACCTTCTTACTGAATTTATGTTAATTTTGAAGAGGCCTTGCCATTTCTTTTTTTTTTTTTTTTTTTTGAGTTTTTATTTATTTGAGAGAGAGAAACAGCATGAGAAGGGAGAGGGTCAGAGGGAGAAGCAGGCTCCCTGACGAGCCGGGAGCCCTATGCGGGCCTCAATCCCAGGACTCTGGGATCATGACCTGAGCCGAAGGCAGTCGCTTAACCAACTGAGCCACCCAGGCGCCCCTGAGGCCTTGCCATTTCTTTTCCATATTGAATGTTTACACTTCAGGTAGTCTTCTCACTTTGCCTGAGAAGTACCAACATTTAGTAAGAATCTTTGTAAGTCAGAGTTTAGCTGTTGAGGTCTGCTCAGCTTGTTGTGGATCATCTCTAGAGGAAAATCCCTCATCATGAGACCATAAAGGTGGCACCAAGACTGTTACCACACACACTATATATTCCTTATCTTTATATTTTTCTTCATTTGTATCTATTAGTCTATTATCTTTACATAGCAGTGACCAACTTTGAAGACTAAATTGTTATAACGTATATATATGTAATATAACTAAAATGTTATAATGTTACAAAAAGCTTAGAAGATATAGTAGCTCCCCTGTCTATGTGGTCCCTAATTATTCTTAATGTTATTACTTAGGCTCCAGAGCAAACCCCCAAGCCCAGCACACATTTCTGTATAGTCCAGAACTGATTTTATGCAAAGAGATATGAAGCCTCATCAAAGAATGGGATTCTGCCCAGAATTCTAGGGGAAAAAACCATTCTGAGAGTTACCTTTGCAAAATAAATAGAGTGTCTACTAAAAACACAGGAGTATTAGGTGCTCCCTGTCTCTCTACAGACCGGGAGAAAGAACTAGAAGCCTTCCAAATGGCACAGCAGAAATGTTTGCACCAGAAGAAGGGACAAGCAGTTTTGTATGAAGGTGGAAAAGGCTATGGAAAAAGTCAGCTGTTGGCTGAAATAAACTTCCTAGCCCAAAAGGAAGGACACAGGTAAAGATTCCTGCTTCTGGCTCGGTGCCTACTTCTCTGGAGGCTCCTTTCCCTTGTTGGTAAGACTCTTGTATCATTAGATTCGGCATCCTTGGGGGGGCTAGTGGAGTGAGTAACCTCTCTGTGGGTCAAGGGACTCCCAGTGACCATATTAACATTCACAGGGTGTTACCACTGAAGCTGAAGGAAGCAGATTTCAAGCAGTGCTTCTATGCCATCCAGACTCTCATGGCCATCTTCTTTGAGATTGATGCATGTCCAGCCTATTACCGGCAAGAGTGCCTACACAAACAGCTCCGTGGGATGGTGGAGGAACCTCTTCACTGCCTTTTTAATGACCTCTTCTTTGTGAAGGTAATGAAGGCAGTGGCTTTCTGAATTCGATTACTAATGTTATTTTTGGTGGATAGTTGGACCCAGGATTGTTTTCTAATCTAATGCCCTTAGGCCATATATGTATAGCCTGAGAACATATAGTTAGCAATGGCAAGGTTCAGATTTGAAATCCCTTTGACACCAAAACCCAGGCTTTCTCTTTGTTGAGGAAAGTAGATTCTAGGACTGACTCCAATACTTGCTAATTGAATGTCGTGGCACAAATCACTTTGCCTGAGACTACATTTTTTCACCTGTGAAATGATGATTATAGTACTTTATGTGATTAGTGCATACATTTTAAAGGAGGTGGTATATAAGAGATCATAGTGTAAATGTGAATGTTAAATCTGTCAAGGTGATGCTGACCAATTGAGCATCCCCAGCAATTTTATCCATGTGTTCTCAAGTCCGCTGTAATGTTTTGTTCTTTAACCCTAGCCATGCCATGGAGTTTGTCACTTCAACCAGCATCTGAATCTCAAAAGCTTCCAGTGGTCTAGGGTTTACATGGTACCCAAGAGTGAGCAGACTAAGAATTCCCTGGTCCACAATTCCATTTATTCTTCCTCCATCACTTCTCCTAATCTACCAAGCCTGCAGGGCATTGTATATAATGGAAAATAGAGAAAAGTAAAATCTCTGCAGTCCTCGGCATAGCCCTGTTTTAAGACAGGCCTTGCTTGGGGCTCTGGCCCTTGCCAAAGTGCTGGAGGAATGGCCTCACTTTGACTCTCCTGTCCATGGTAACTCACGTGCCATGGCCTAGCACAATGTTAGGAGATGCCCGTTGCAATTCTTTCTAACAAGTTTCATGCACTCATTCATTCTGACATACTTGGAAAAACTGGGGTACTGGAGCTGTCTAAAGTGACATTGCTAAGTCCAACCTGTTACTTTACTTCTTAGTCATGACCCTTTAAGGGTTTGCCGGAATCTGGATATGGAAAGGAGCTCTCTCTCTTTCTCTCTAACCTCCAGTTGACTTTCCATCTTACTCTCTGAACTCTATATTGATGTTGGATCGGCATTTGTGATCCTATGCCCAGTCCTATAGAAGAAACCCATTCTCACTCAAAATAGAATCATTGTCTGCTCCCTTTGGAGAACCTGTATATTTTTATTAGATCATCATTGTGAATGCTAATATATGAATAATTTTCCTGGTTAGTTTCCCTTGTCCTTCAAAGTTTCGCACATGGATGACCTGACCAGACAAAAGAAGGTTAAGGCATGTTTTTTTCAAGTGCTTCAGGAGGTGGGTATTTTTGCTACATACCATTAACTCTTAATATGTGGAGATGGTTTGTGCTTATTTTAATCTATCCATAGCACACCTTGACTTAGGCCTGCCTATTTGTGATATCTTCATTGTTTGTATCTATCTTTAACCTTGAATCAATCCTATTGCACAGAATACAAGAAAAGGTCTTTGCTCTTCCCTGATCCTTGGTTCTTAATTTAAAACAGTGGTTTCTAAATGCAAGCAGATAGCTGTTTTACCTCCTATTTATTACAAATACACTCAAGCCTTAACCCAGATTACAGAGTCAAAAATATCTGTGAGCAGAAAGTGATGTAGTCATTCTGGAAAGCAATCTAGAAGTAACTAGTCAAATTTTAATAACGTGCATCTTCTAGACCTAGCAATTCCACTCTCGGACCTATGTCTCAGGGAGTCTGTTCATGGCAGTGTTTGTGGAGGAGAGGGATGCAATGGCATGAACTCATGGATGAGCGCTATGCAGCATAATGCAGAAGTCTAGAAGTAAGGGAATAGATGAAAACATTACAACACAGAGTGGTCTTAAAAATAATCCTGAATAAAAAGAGAAACAAGGAGATCTATACAGTAGCATTTACATAAAAAGTTTACTTAACAAAACAGTGAGACACCTTTCATAAGAACACAATACAAACAAAAGGATTACAGTAAACACCTTAGAATGGTTAACGGCTGCAACAGGGGAGTGGGGAATGTGGCTAAAAATGAGTATATTTTTTAAAAGTTTACATGAATGGGGCCTGGTAATTGGTAGTTTTAACAAGCACTCAGGTAATTCTGATGTGCAGCCTGGTTTGGAAGTTACTGATATAAAGTATTATGAATTCCCACACAGTTTGAAGCCTTTGCCAAAATGAAATGTTTGAAAGCTTCAAGTTTGATTTGGAGAATATTTTGATGTTCATTTCATTTTTCAGTTAGAGTATTTTCTTGTCCAAAGAATCTCAGTACGTTCCTTTAGAAATTAGAAATAGTGGCTATATTTTATATTTATAAAATAAAATATTACCTGGACTTAGGACACATTTTACTCAGAAAATCCCAGCCTGTGTTGACATTTTATTTAAATTGCTGTTGGGAAATTCATGGTACATTTGAAAATCAGGTTACTTCATTTCTAATCAAAGGTTGTCACTGTTCGCTGTTATTTTCAGGCAGTGAGGGAAACACCACTGATTTTCCTCATTGACGAAGCCCAATATATGGATGCAGCTTCCTGGGAGTTTTTGGAAACATTACTCTCCACTGTGCCCATCATCATGGTGATGACATTGACCTCTACCTTCACCCTGTGTGGCTGTGCCCAGCACTTCCTGCAGAGCTCTCAGGCTGTCCTTGTGCCCATTTGGAAGTTAGCAACGACCTCACTGTTGAGAATGGCATGTTGGGAACTGGGGGTGGTGAGCATCCCCCAAGAGCTGCAGATGTGAGTGGCTAGGACTAGCTGAGCACTTCTTTAAGGGCAGAGCCAATGCCATAATATAAGTGAGAAGGCTCAGGTCTCACTTACCCATGTTGGGGGAGAGAATGGCCTTAGTAACCATGATGAGGCCTAAGACCAGATTCAAGGATAGACAGTCCCCTAGTAAACCAGTAAAGGGCTACCTCCCTAGGCTATCATCAGGTTTTCACAAGACAGGACTTGGATGGCTTGCTTCTGGTGTCAGTTTATATGTGATCAGGCCACTTTCTAGGGCTCTTTGTAAGGGGACGTTCTTTTTAACAGCAATAAAAACAAAATAGTTAAAAAAGAACAGTTACTACTAAAATTTCAAACCAATCAGAATTTTTTTTTTTTACATTTCTGTGTTGCTGCTTACCTCTGTTAGTATATATCATCAAAAGCTGACTTTAACAAAAGAAGAAATATTCCTCAGTATGAAATATCCCTGTACTTGGCTCTCTTCAAGTGGGCATCTTAGTCAGCAATCCCCTACTTACTTCTCTACAGCTACCTTCTCCACAGGTGCTTTGGAAACCCCCTGTACTGTGAGGTCTTATGCCAGGACCTTCTCTCCAAAGATGTATTGCTCTTTCACGACCTCCAAAAGGAGGAGAAGAACAGTAAGTGGGAGACACTCTCAGGTAAGCTTAGCTTCCAGCGTTCTACCGTCATCTGGCTGCTGGCGTTCATCCTTTGATATGGCATTACCTGCCCCTTATGAAGCATGTTGCCATTCCATACTAACATTATAAGCAAGAGGAAGCCTTCCTGGCCTGCCTCAGAGAACTTAATCGAGCTAGTCAATCTCTTATAGTTCCTTTTTGAGCAGCCCAGGAGGTAGGGATAGGAAAAGAGGATTTATAAACATAAGAGTTCAATAAAGAATTGCATATTAATGGGCGCCTGGGTGGCTCAGTTGGTTAAGCGACTGCCTTCGGCTCAGGTCATGATCCTGGAGTCCCGGGATGGAGTCCCGCATCGGGCTCCCTGCTCAGCGGGGAGTCTGCTTCTCCCTCTGACCCTCTTCCCTCTCGTGCTCTCTCTCATTCTCTCTCTCTCAAATAAATAAATAAAATCTTAAAAAAAAAAAAGAATTGCATATTAATTACTGATGAGGATGACTTGATGATTTGTATAGGGGGTGGGAGAAGGGAGGGGGGTGGGAGAAGGGAGGAGGGTGGGAGAAGAGGAAGGGGTAGAAGTTTGTGTAAATCTGGAAAGGCATCCGAGGGCTGTGATGTAATAGAAGAGAAGGCTACTGGAAAGTAAACAGGAAGAGTGTAAATGTTGGATACCATATGGTAGAGAAAAATGTCATTAGTTTCTAAGAGGAAATTAGAGAGCAGGCAGGATGGGTGGGGTAAGCCACTTTAAAACATATGCTCTATTTATCTTCATCCTGTTAATTCCTTGACTAAATTCTTGTAATTTTGTGCCTTTAAAACTACAGTCACTGAGCATGGTGTTTTCTCAGTCATAGTCTTCTTTCCCTACAGCCAGTGCAATGAAATCTACAATGTATGGTATTCTTCCTGCTGGCTCTGAAGAAGACCAGGAACTTTATATCTGCACAGTCAAGGATGATGTAAACTTGGATACTGTGCTTCTCCCACCATTATTAAAAGGCAAGTCCCTTGAAAACTTCAAGCAAACCAATTACAGATGTCATTGCACTTAGTGATTTGGTGATTGATTGAATATAGGTCTTTCATTATCACGCTAGCTCCATTTTCTTCTAAAAAAACATGCCTTCTAGAAATAAGTTCTGGCACTGCCCAAAGAGCCTTTAAGAGATTTGTAATGCTACTTGAGTAATGTTTTACTTAAGTGAGTGCCTTGTACTCTGGGGCTGACTAATGACTGAGAAGTTTTCTAGTTATTTGATAAAAATTAGGTCCTGAGTTTCTCTTTGTGCATATTCCTATGTTAGAGGAGGCAATAAGCAAGGGAGATAATGTGGCTGAGATTTAAGAAAATCTATGGTGCTAGTGAAGAGACAGTGTTATAGCAGGAGTTGAATAAGAAGGGGCAAAGTAAGTTTATAATGACTAATGAGATAAAGAATGGAGAAGCCATCAGAATTGAGTAGGCATAATCAGATAGGGGATGTTCTTTTTAGAAATGAAGAAGGTTTTGGTGACCATGGGGAGAACAGTTTCAGTGGTGTGGTGAAAACCTGGTTGTTGGTGGTGGTGGTTGAACAATGAATGGGGAATAAGGACAAATGAGGACTTAGAGATAAGGCTGTCTCAAGAGGTTAGGGTGAGTGGAGAAGGGGAGGACCAAAAGCAAGCCTTTTTTTTTTAAAAAGATGTATTATTTATTTGAGAGAGAGAAGGGGGTGGGAGGGGCAGAGGGAGAGAGAGAGAGACTCTCAAGCAGATTCCCTGCTGAGCAGGGAAGCTGACACAGGGCTCAATGCCACAACCTGAGAGCATGACGTGAGCTGAAATCAAGAGTCAGAAGCTTAACTGGCTGAGCCACTCAGGTGCCCCACAAGACCTTTTTTTTTTTTTAAGTGAACAGATTATCAACACAATGTATTTTATGTTTGTAGAAAGCTTGTTCACTTCTCTTGTTTTGTTTTGTTTTCCAGAAGTAGCAATAAACCAGTTAGATCAATTGAGCCCAGAGGAGCAGTTGCTGATTAAGTGTGCTGCAGTCATTGGTCACTCCTTCCGCATAGATCTCCTGCAGCACCTCCTGCCTGGCTGGAATAAAAACAAGCTACTTCAGGTGCTGAGGGCTCTTGTGGATATACATGTGCTCTGCTGGTTCAGCAAGAGTCAAGAGCTTCCTGCCAAGTCAATATTAGTGCCTTCCTCTGTCAAGATTATTGAACAAACCAAAGAGCAGAAGAAGAAAAAGTCAGGTGAGGAAGAGCTGCTTCCTTGTTCTTACCTGAACAGAGAGCCTTGGGTAGGGATATCTGTGTTCAAAAAGAACATCAGTATCCTTTATCGTGGGCCTCAGTTCTCTAAACCTATGGCTAAGAAATGGGGGGAAGTGATTATTTTAATCACAAAGGAGCCAGGATTATAGTGAACGAATAACCTGTATTTTTCAGAATTGTTTTAATTCCGAGAATTTTAGCTCCTTGTTAACCCTATGTGTTAAGTATCTGTATCTTGATTTTTGGTTCAGAAACCATAATCCTTTATTGGTTTCTAGATAATAAATAATAAGGAAAAAAAGGATAAACTGTTCCTAATTTTAGAAATTTTCAAGGAAGATAAACACATCTGGAATTGAAACAGACATGAGCGAAGCAAGATATACATTCAATAGCTTACAATCTCAAATTCTCCAAATAATTAAATCGTGGGCATAGACTACCCAAAGCACATATATTCCACAAATAATTTCCCTTTGACTTTGAAATATGTTTGGGCCTTATGTTTGAACAGAGCATTTCTTTCTTTTTTTTAATGATTTTATTTATTTGAGAGAGAGAGAGAGAGAGAACACGAGCAGTGGGAGGGGCAGGCAGAGGGAGAAGCAGACTCCCTGCTGAGTAGAGAACCTGATGCCTGCCCATGTGGGGCTCCATCCCAGGACCCTGAGATCATGACCTGAGCCAAAGGCAGACGCTTAACCAGCTGAGCCACCCTGGTGTCCCTGAACAGAGCATTTCTGATGATTTGATGTTTATAGTAATTTTTATTAAAAAAGGTCAATTTAGGAGGAGCATCTAAGAAATCTATTCAGCGTACTTCTTTACCACTGACCATTTCTTCTCTCTGGTACTTTGTACAAGATATGGTCAATGTCACTCTCAGATTGGTGTAATATACTTTATACAGAGGAATTGTAAATAAAATTTTCTTATAAACTAGCAGCATGTGATTGGGAGTTTGCTACTGATAGCATAAAAGGCCTTTAAGGGAGACTCTCACTTAGATTTCCTATATTTCAGAGGCTGACTCTCCTCTCAGTCTGCAAGAGGAATTATATCTACCTCAAACAGAGATGCTAGAATTTGGAGTGCCACTATTACGGGAAGCTGCTTGGGAGCTGTGGCCCAAGGCACAGCAGATAGCCCTGCACCTTGAATGTGCCTGCTTTCTCCAAGATTTGGCCTGCCGCTGTCAGAGCTGTCACGGGGGGGACTTTGTTCCCTTCCACCGTTTTGCCATCTGTTCTACTAAGAGCTGCAGTGGGATCTCCCGGTTCTGTAGTTACAAAGATACTGGCTCAGTACTAACACAAGTGATCACAGACAAATTGCAGCTGCCTTCTCCCCAAGGTAAACCCAGGAAGCAGAAAGAAGATATGTGGGCAGCACTTCTCTGTGTTCATGTACTTGGGAGTTCTTCATCCAAAAGGTGGAATCCAATTAAGGGAGAAAAATAGGCAGAAAGAGCCATTTATCCCTGAAGCACCAGAAATAAGAAAAATGTAATTTCAGAGCTAAAAGGAACTTTAGAAATCATGCTTGTTTTGGTTGGCAGTCTCGGGCAAGTTACCCAACCTCAATTAATTGAGGAAAATAACAATACCAATTTCATAGAGTTGCTGTGAGAATTGAATGAGTTAAAATATGTAATATGCTTTGAATAGTGCCAGGCACACGGTTAGTGCTCAATACATTTTAGCTACTGTTGTTGTTGTTGTTATTATTATTAAACTCTGTACACATATATGGGGCCCCTGTGTGTATCAGATGCTGCAACTAGGTATTAAGAATACAAAATGAATAAGCATGGGCCCCTGAAATTATCAGTTTTGGGGCTTGATACAGACGTGCAAATAGAGAATTCTGATATGGCATGGTAAAGGCAATTAAAATAGCATACCCAGGCATTGGGGTACCTAGAGAAGGAGCCGTTGGCTCAGCCTGAGAAGTGAGTAGGGGGACACTCTCCCTTGAAGGAGATAATGCTAAAAGTGAGAATTCAGGGATAAATAGGAGTTGGTTGCTTGAGGAAGTTTGAGTTAGTGGATGGGTGTTCCCCAAAGCTGGTTGCCCTTCTACCACATCCTAAATGAGAGTTCACCCTCTTTGTATTAACATTTTCAGTTATTGGACAGCCCATTTCATTGTCAACAGCTGTTAGAAAGCTTCTTTCATCAGGATAAAATCTACCTTCTTGCAACTTCACCAATTTTTCAGAGTTGTGCCTTTCTTTTTAAGTTTTTATTTAAATTCCAGTTAGTTAACATACAGTGTAATATTAGTTTCAGGTGTACAATATGGTGATTCAGCACTTCCATACATCACCCAGTGCTCATCATAAGTGCCCTCCTTATTGCCCATCACCTATTTAACCCATCCCTCAACCCCTCTCCTCTAGTAACTATCAGTTTGTTCTCTATAGTTAAGAGTCTCTTTCTTGGTTTGCCTCTCTCTGTTTTTTCCCTTTGCTCATTTGTTTCTTAAATTCCACATATGAATGAAATCATATGGTTTGTATCTTTCTCTGGCTGACTTATTTTACTTAGCATTATACTCTATGACTCTACCTGTGTTGTGGCAAATGGCAAGATTTCATTCTTTTTTATGGCTAAGTAATATTCCATAGATAGACACATACATACCACATTGTCTTTATTCATCAATGGATGAACACTTGGGTTGCTTCCATACTTTGGCTATTGCAGATAATGCTTCTATAAACATCAGGGTGCATGTATCCCTTTGAATTAGTATTTTTGTACTCTTTGGATAAATACTTAGTAGTGCGATTGCTGGATCATAGGGAAGTTCTATTTTTTACTTTCTGCGGAACCTGCGTACTGTTTTCCCCAGTGGTTGCACCAGTTTGCATTCCCACCAACAGAGAGTTCCCCTTTCTCTACATCCTCACCAACACCTGTTAATTTCTTAATGTTTATTTTAGCCATTCTTACAGGTGTGAGGTGATCTCTCATTGTAGTTTTGATTTGCATTTCCCTGATAAGTGAAAACAACACAAAGAAATGGAAAGACATTCCATGCTCATGGATTGGAAAACAAATATTGTTAAAATGTCTATACTACCCAAAGTAATCTATACCTTTAATGCAATCCCTATCCAAATACCAACAGCATTTTTCACAGAGCTAGAACAAATAATCCTAAAATTTTTATGGAATGACCAAAGACCCTGAATAGCCAAAGCAACCTTGAAAAAGAAAAACAAAGCTGGAGGCATCACAATTCCAGACTTCAAGTCATATTATAAAGCTGTAATGATCAAGACAGTATAGTACTGGCACAAAAATAGACATATAGATCAATGGAACAGAATAGAAAATCCAGAAATGAACCCATACTTACATGGTCAGTTAATCTTGGACAAAGCAGGAAAGAATATCCATTGGGAAAAAAGACCCTCTCTCCAACAAACGCTATTGGGAAAACTGGACAGTAAAATGCAAAAGTATGAAACTGGACCACTTTCTTTCACCATACACAAACATAAATTCAAAATGAATTAAAGATCTAAATGTGAGACCTGAAACCATAAACATCCTAGAAGCGACACAAGCAGTGACCTTCTTGACATCAGCCATAGCAACTTCTTTCTAGATATGTCAACAGAGGCAAGGGAAAATAAACCATTGGGACTACATCAAAATAAAAAGCTTTAGCACGGCAAAGGAAACAATCGACAAAACTAAAAGGCAGCCTACAGAATGGGAGAAGATATTTGCAAATGACATATCTGATAAAGGGTTAGTATCCAAAATATATAAAGAACTTATAAAACTCAGTATCCAAAAAAAAAAATCCAATTAATAAATGGGCACAAGACATGAATAGACATTTTTCCAAAGAATACATACAGATGGCCAACAGACACATGAAAAGATGCTCAACATCACTGATCATCAGGGAAATGCAAATCAGAATTGCCCCTTCTTACATATTTGAAGACAGCTGTCAAGACCCAACCAAGTCTTCTCTTTTTCTACTTTGATAGAAGTTGGTGTTGGCAGAGGAGAGGGATAAGGGAGAGATGGGGAATTGTTGGTGGTAACGGACTAAAATCAAGAAGTTAATCTATTCTCTTAATGTCTGCTCTAGCTGTAACATTCTGATGACTCTGTGAAGGTAGACCAGTGACTTGGAAAAATTAGTCATTGGCTGATGAACTCTTTGGGCATTTGCACTTTTGTACTTTCCAAGGAGAAAGAGGAAAGTAACAGTGAACGTCCTAGTCTAGGATTGTGAAGAAATTACCCTATCATTCATAGTTAGTGTCAGCTTGAGATTACACAGCCTGATCAGTCTGTATGAGAGAGGCTCAAGACCTTCCCAGCACAACCAAGCCCTGAGGACACTTCCCAGATTCAGGGCCTCTGTGCATGGCCATGCAGAACAGGTACTGCACACATCTAGAGGGCGCTAGTCACAGATGCTATGATGTGATGGTGCCCCTGGAAATTGGGTGTTGCGGTAGTGCTGCCAAACTCCAGGTTCTTTAGTTACCTGAGTCTTAACTTTACCCTACCTTATTTGACACGGTTCCATATTCAGAGAGCTGGTCCTTTTACTTAACGCAAGTCCTCCCTGTAACAGTTCTTGGGGACCCCCTTTCAATCCTGCCACCCGTGCTTCTGAGCCATAATGGTAACATCTCCTCATCATTCCCAGTTTTTGCTTTTTGATCTGTGAGAAGGCAGCTGCAGAGGAAGAGTCAAATCGGAGGGATAAGGGCTGTTTAAGGCCAGCTAGGTAAAGCTGAAACCCCCTGCTGGCCACTGTGACTCTAGTGGACTGCGGTATCTGGTGCCCTCACTAGGTCTAGCTCTGTGGTCCACTCTCATCTGGTCAGAAATTCAATCCAGATATATTCAGGGATTTCTTATTATTAGAAGTAGCCGTCAAACCAGGTGGACATATTCTTTATTCATTTTTCTGGCAAACTGAATCAGTGGCTGGTTTGGGAGGTTTGAGAGGAGTTACTATTTGAAACATAAGTAGTTGCCATTAAGGAATTTGTGATCCACCATTCTATTTTAATTAGGTTAATATTAAACCTAAACTTACCATTTTAACAGTGGGGGAGGCGATTAGGTCATGAACTAAGCTTCGGAGAAGTAGTCAGGAATTGGAAATGTTCTCAGTTAATACAAAGATGGATAATGGAAGATAATATTTTTCTCCCTACAGATAGTTTTCAGTTCCAGACAAAACCATTCAGAAGTCAGGAGGCCTTCACAAGTGAACACCGCAGGTAAATGGAGACGCTGAGAGTGGGTGTGGGGGGCCAGGAAATGAGACACAGGTGACCACTGAACTGGGCCACTCACTTCACCTGCAGACCAGGAACTCCTCTGACCACCCAGGAGTAGTAACCTTTGTACTCAGTCCAGAGTTCAAGTTAACAGAATTGGAAAGGCAATTTTTGATTCTTCGTAGGGAAATTATTTCTTAGTGTTTAGGAGAAGCTTCATTTAATAACTCTCAGATGAATTGTACACAGAGCAGATTTTTCTCTGCTATAAATTTGCCTTCTCAATTATGTTTGACCCCAGATGCCAAACTCCAGGTTCTTTAGTTACCTGAGTCTTAACTTTAGGAATTTACATTTCCTAATCATGTGCCTACTGGCTTTGTAATGCCTAGCCTATCGATTTTAAATGTCCCTACCTTGAGTTTACCAGCCACTCTAGAGTTTCCTGTCCTGCTTATCCAACCTAATTTCTTATGGTTTTCAAAGAAAAATCTGTACTCTACATGAATCATCCCCACACTCATCTGTATATCCCTGCTCACACAATTCCCCCTTTTTAAATACTAAGTGGCCTCCACATCCTTCTATTTATTAGAGTGTTTACCATTCTTCAAAGCCCTCCTCAGTTTCCATCTTTTTCAATCATTCTGTCTCAGAGAGATCTAACCTCTTTTGAACTCATGGTGTTTGTGGGGAGTGCACTGGACTAGTAGAGAAGTGAGCTCTAGTTTTAGTTTTATTCAGTAGCTGTGAGGTCATTTAGAAGTCACTTAAGCTTTCCAAGCCTCAATTTCCTCAATGGTAAAAGGAAGGTAGTTTTTGCCTACCTGAAAGACAGGGTTGTTGTAGGATAAGATGGTGTTGTATAAAATCATGTTCAAATGTGTTGTGACAAAGTTCAAATATGCTAATAGAGAAATGTATTATTACTTATTGCCTTGTATCATGTTCATGTTTTTATTTCACATGTTGTTAGTTTACTCTTCAGGTGAAGTTACTTCCCCAGTCTGTGAGGTACTTAGATTGGCTTTAGGTTTTTAAAAAAGTCCTTAGGGCTTTGACAGTATATATCAGGTCCCTGACTCAAAAACTTATGGAGTGGTGGAGGAGAAGGCTAAACTTAGAATTGATGAGTCATAAAGGAAAGCTTCCTGGAAACAGTGGCTTGGAGATCTGGGAATGCCCCCAGAAGAGTGGCTGCTTTGTGACCACTCTCCATTCATCTTCTCTCCACAAAGAACAGAGGAAGAGTTCCTGGATCAGGTGAACAGGAAGCTGGCTCAGACCAGCCCCAAGAAAGACATGTTGACCACAAAGCCCTGTCACTGTGAGGAAATCCTGCAGTTAGTGCTCTCACCCCTCACCCAACACTGCCTGGTCATTGGAGAAACCACATGTGCATTTTATTACCTGCTGGAGGCCGCTGCAGCCTCCTTGGACCTGTCAGATAATTACATGGTGAGCAAACTCTGCTCCCAGCCCCTGAGCTGAGCCCTTTCAAATGGGGAATTTGGTGGGGATTTCTTACTGTCAAGTCAGCTTGGGTGAAAAATGGAGCAAAGTGGAGAGAGAAAGGTGCTGGAAGGGGTTTAGGAGAAAACAAGAAGTGGGGACGTAGTAGTCCAAGAGCACCAACCACTGCCAGCCCTGCCCCTGACTTGCGTGGGCCATCCAGCTCCCCATTTCTCACTGTGAACCCATCCTGATTCTGATCCAAATCTTGACCTCATCATAACCTTACTCCATCCTTCATCCTCATCGCACCACTAGGGTCATCCGAATCCTAATCCTGTTTCTCCATCCCTTGTCTTGTTCGGAGGCCTTCTTTTATTTGAGGAAGGCAAGCAGTCTTCTGGGCCAGCCCTCAGCATTCTCATTTTTGAAAAAGCACAAAGTGAAGATCTGTCAGTTTGAGGAAGCCACTTTCTGCTGTCTTCGGTCAGAGGTAAAGTAAGGGCAGGGCCCTGAAATTTGAGTTATTTCTCCTTGAGGGTTACCCTATTATTTCTTTTAAAAATCTCTTTGTTTTTTTGTATGCAATTGTAAATGTGATAATGTACGAAAAGATTTTACAAATTCAAAACATAGCAATACACAATATGGAGAAAGTGAAAAGAGCTCCATGCTACCCCCAGCATAGTTAATAATGTGCAAATTCCACCAGATATACACACATAGGCATACCATTATTATTTTCTGTTGTTTTTTAAATAGAATCATATTCTATATTCTCTTCTGTAGCTGACTTTTATTCTTAACAGTACAGACTGAACATTTTTGCATATTAGTGTACATCCAATCAGTTACAGCTGCCAAGTACTCCATTGTATGCTCATATCAAAGTTTAATCAGTCCCTTCACATGCATTTAGGTTGTCTCTAATTTGAGATTTTTATAAGCATTGCTACAGTGAATATTCTTGTAAATATCTCGTTTCCCTTATAAAAATGTTTCTGTAATAGAAATTCCCCGAGGCAGAAATGCTAAGGTGGGAGATAAGAATGATTTTACATTTAATACATATATTGCCAAATTGTCCAACAAAATTACACATCTTCCCTGACTTATGTTGGGGTTACATCTCAATAAACCCATGGTAAGTTGAAAATATCATTTAGTCGAAATTAGTATACCTATCACAAGTTGAAAATGCATTTAATACACCTACCCTACCAAACATTGTAGTGTAGCCTGCTCACCTTAAACATACTCAGTGAGAATACTTACATTAGCCTACACTTGGGCAGAATTATCTAATGCAAAGCCTATTTTAGAATAAAGTGTTGAGTATCTCATGTAACTTACTGGGTACTCTACTGAAAGTGAAAAACAGAATGGTTATACGGGGACAGAATGATTGTAAGTCATTGTAAGTAAGGGTCGTTTACCCTTATGATCGCATTGCTGACAGGGAGTGCATCCACTGCTGCCGCCCAGCATCAGGAGAGAGTATCATACCATACATATATTGCTACCCCTAGGAAAAGATCAAAATTCAGAGTATAGTTTCTACTGAATGCATATCACTTTCACACCATTGGGTGAAAGTCAAAACATTGTTAATTCAAACCATTGTAAGTCAGGAACCGTCTGTATATCAATTCAAATTTTTCCCAGTTCTTCACATCCTTACATCAGATGTTATCAGTCTGTTTTAAACTTGCTAATCTGTAGATGAAAGTTATATTGTGCTTTAATGTGTATTTCTTAATAAGGTACATTATTTTTGTATGTTTACCAGTCATTTATTTTTCTGTGAATTGCTTATTCATGTTCTTTGTTCAGTGGAGTACATGTAAACTAATTTCAGGACAGCTGGGGGCTGGACATGAGGGTGAGGGTGATCAAAAGGTATAAACTTCCAGTTATAAGATAAATAAGTCCTAGGGGTATAATGTACAGCATAGTGACTATAGTGAACAATGCTGTATTATGTATTTGAAAGTTGCTAAGGGAATAGATCTTTTTTTTCCTTTAAATTTTTTTATTGTTATGTTAATCACCATACATTACATCATTAGTTTTTGATGTAGTGTTCCATGATTCATTGTTTGTGCATAACACCCAGTG